GAAAAAATAGATGGCATTGTCACAGCCAAAGTTCTCAACATGGGGTCTGAGAAATGTTGAACACATGCTGAGTACCCTGAAGCCTATTTCTGTAGCCTTGAACCAGCGCCGGCTCTGGCTTTCTGCCGCCCTAGGCAAAAAAGCCTCCCACCACTTCCCCCGCCCCCTCCCCCAGTGTGGCAGGGGAGGGCGCCGAGCCCGGCTGCGGGCCCACAATCCCCGACCGGCCAGAGCGCCGGGGGGGAGGGCAGAGAGCCCCCAGCGGCCAGAGCGCCGGGAGCTCTGAAGTTTATTATAGTTGGCATTATGGAGGGATGATTGCTGGATGTCCATGTCATAGCCAATTCCTCTTCTTCAGCAGTTAAGGTTTGACCCTGATACCGAGTATTGAGAATATTTGCAAGAAAATGAGCTGGAGATCGTGCTTGTCCCATTCTTTTTTTAATGCTTGTAATTTAACTTTGTCATTGCATATTTCTCTTTTTAAGATCTCCCTCAGTTCCTTCCAAATTTCAACAGCATCAACAATAAAACAGCTATTTCCCTGCATTTTGTTCAAGGCAAGGCCGGCTCCAGGCACCAGCCCACCAAGCATGTGCTTGGGGCGGCGCCTGGAGGGGGGCGGCGTGGTGGGGTGCTCCTGCCCGAGAGCGGGGCCGCGAGCGGGCTCGCCGCCCTCCCCGGGGCGCTCCGGCCGGTCGGGGAGATCGGAGGGCCCCGGCCGGGCTCGCCGCCCTGCTCCCAGCGCTCTGTAGGAAAGCAAGCAAGGGGGGTGACTTTTTAAAGTACCCATGAAAGACCAAAATTGTGTTGACAACTTCGCAGTGTAGACATGCCCTAAGGCTCTGTCTACACTGGGAGAGGTTTGCTGCTGGCACTCAGACGCAGCTTATACAGGTGAAAAAAGAGCTTTGGTTCGTTTGTCTTACGCCGGTTGCCTGCGGGAAATAAGTGATACCAGCAACGGACTTTTGTCACTACTAGGGTTACCATATCTCATAAATAAAAAAAGAGGACCCTCCACTGGCCCCAACTCCGCCCCCTCCCCGCCCTAACTCCGCCCCCTCCCACTCCCAGCCAGGGGGAAAGGGCTGCCCCAGTGCTACCGGCTTCAGGGTTTGCCAGGCAGCCCCCAGACCCTGCGCCCCCAGCGCAGCTGGAGCCCGGGAGGGGAAGCGCCCAGCTGGGGACACAGGGTGTGGAGGC